TTCCACAGGCACAAATACAGAAGAATAAAGCAGGAAGATCTCACAAGTCTGCTGGGACAAAAATAAAAAAAAAAAAAAAAAAGAGAGAGAGAAAAGTAGGACAGGGAAAAGCAATATCATGGTCTAGAAGTGTATTTCAGTATTAGAGCATCCACTGAAAACATCAAGCAAACAGGAATGATTCACACTCCTAAGAACTGGGAGTGGGAGTGAGTGGAAATACAGAAGGAACATGGTTCTCCATATTCGTATGGAACAATTTCTATATTCTTGTCTGTCAACACCATGGTCTTATTGTCAACACACTTGGTCTTATTGCTGCTCACCAAGTACAACAGGGTAATCGATGTAAGAAGCAAGATGCTAAGAACAGAATTTTTAACCTAAAGTAGGACTATGAGAGGTGATATTAGCTTTAAGCCACATGATGATCTGAATGATTTTGAAGTGCATATTCAAGTCCCACTGACCTGCTCAAGATGTGAACATATGACATTTCATTAACAGTGATACATGATGGAACAAGGACAAATGTCAGAGCAACACACAGAGCTGGTTCTGAAGCCAAAAGCTGTAATGTCAACTTAGTTCAATGTCATGTGCAACATGGGGTTTATCACACTAGGTATAGCATGACAATAATATGGTAACACTGCTTTTGGAGCAGCCTGGTATCTGTCTCTTGCTGTATGGTCCATCAGAAAAAGAGCAGTCACATATATGAATTTAGCAAGACTTGTATGCACAGTTTAAAGTTAAGCACCCACTTGGTGTAGGACATCAACTATTTCCACGAAGGATTTTCAAAGCTTACTGACTAATGTAAAGGAAAACACCAAGAGACTAAAATTTCATCAGTAAATATGATCAAGTATTTAATTCTTCTGCAGCAGTCTAACAGTCTAAACCTCTAGTTTCTACTTAATCAGTGTCTCTAATAGTTCAGCAAATGTATCTGAATATCAAAGAGCATTATGATGTGGACTGCAAGGTACAAAAAGGCCTGGAGGAAAAAGATTATGCTTTTTGAAGCCTACCTTTGATAGTGCAGGCAAAACTAGAAATAACCAGGCATAATGAGAACAATTTTGTGTATTACTATAATTTTATATTAAACACAAGATAATCATCACCACAGTATTACTTTCGGTCTAATTGAAAAAGATGTGACAGCTACCACCCATTTTTAACTTCTTTGTTTGTTTTTACATTTTGGGAGGCTCCCTTCAGTATAAAAGAGCACTCAAATAATGGGAGATGTTTTATACCAGCTGGGCTGCTCATTAAGTTGAAAGCAGCACTGAGAAACACTTGCACCTTTCCCTCCCTAGTGTCAAAACGTGTATACAGCCACTTCAGGATCCATAAACTACATTAATCAATCTTGCCTATTTTTGCCTCAAGTTCTGAAAAACTGTAATGAGGTAATTCCCAGATCACTGTAAAGATGTTTGAAATACTAGTCATAACCAAAACAGCAGAACAAGCCCAGTAACAGATGCAGCTAAGGCATCCCAAAACCTCATTACAACTCCATCAGCCAAGGGCCAGCAGCTGCCTGCCACACAGTGAGGTAGGAAAGCCAGAATGTGCATGGTAGCTTGGAAGTGACATCACCTGCTACTCACTTGAATCTTCCACAGAGTATTTTTTGGAGATGAGCCATGCACCATGCTTTTGAGTATTTTGTCATAGAATCATAGAATGGTTTGGGTTGTGAGTGACCTTAAAGATCATCTAGTTCCAACCCCCAGGTCATGGGCAAAGACACCTCCCATTAGACCAGGTTGCTCACAGCCTCATCCAGCCTGGCTTTGAACACTTCCAGGGACGGGGCATTCACAGCTTCTCTGGCCAACCTGTGCCAATGTCTCTCCACCTTCACAGTAAAGAATTTCTTCCCAATATCTAACCTAAATCTACCCTCTTTCAGTTTAAAACCATTAGCCCTCGTCCTACCACTACATGCCCTGATAAAAAGTCCCTCTTTACTGGAAGGCCACTATAAGGTCTACATCATCAGTGATTGACAAGAATAGCCTGGAAAATTATAAATTGCAGAAAGGCTGTGGCTGCCTCCGGGGGTAGAGGCTGTCTCACCTGGGGCAGAACACTACTCTTCTGCCTACTCTGCCTGCAAGGTGCCTGTGATGGGGCCCGAAGAAAGTGTTGTTGAGGTTCTTATCTATCACCAGTTTCTTCACTGAGGGTTGAAGACGGAGAAGCCACCGAATAAATTTGCCTGGGATTCCCACAGCAGCAGAGGAGATTATATTCTGACACACACTATAATGCTGAGTACCTGATTATAGACCATCACCATGTGAGACAACTCCATTTCCAAAGCAGTTCAGCCACATCAGTACAGCAAGGCACCTGAGCTAATAGCTTGCCTCTCAAATGACCTTATTAGTACAGCACATCAGCTCAACGTTGTTGCACAGCATCCAGCCACGGTGTGGCTTTCAACCTGCTAGCCCAGAATACAGATCAATCCAGAACAAAACATCTCCTTGCACAGCTGGTCATCACAGATTTCTACTTCTTTATCAGCTCCCACACAGGGAGTTTTTGCTTTTTAACCTAGGGACAGAAGAAGCTCTTGTTCCGAAGTTCTTTGCAGGAGAAGAGAGGAAAACCAGAACCATCAGGGAAAATGATCTCACCACTCAAAAATGATCAGAAGTAAGAAAATACTTAAGAGGAGAAATGGCGGCGAGTTGAGGAAAACTGAAATGTGGAGTGGCAGCTTCTTCTTAGCAGCCTAAAAGGCTTCTTCTCCACTCTACCATTTGAGTGAGCAGTTCATTGTCTTTCTGTCTGAATAGCCTATTTATCACTAGCATTCACACAACTGAAAAAAAAGAGGCAAACAAAAATAAATTGTTTTTCCTATGTCAACCTCATTTAATTACTGAAGAGCAGTTTGAATTGTTGCTCTCCTAGTGCTTTGGTGGGATTGGCAGCCAGTCTAGTCCAGTCAGGCTTGCCTGATTGTATGAGAAATGGAAAATAAAATTAGCATAGTCAAAGCCAGGGATAATCTAGGAAGTATTCACAATAATGAATACAGTTGGGTGACAGGTTGCTTTTGCTGGGAGTTTCTGATACCCAGGCTTGTTACAATGTGTGTGGGCTAGTAAATATTCAGCAGACTTAACAGGATATTTCAAGGAGATTTACAGTCAGCTCAGTCATGTCTATATCACCACACTGACATGCTGTCTTTGCTTTTGAATATCTTACAGGAAACTTAATGTCAGCTTATATGGCAAGAAACCAGACAAACATAATAAATCTATGCATACCGAGATGTGTATGTTGACAATAATTCGCCTTGTCTCCTCTCCTGGGAGCATAATACCCAGTAGTCTAATTTCCAGATAACAGTGCAGCCAATTCTACTATTGGATGAAAACTAGAATTTATTTTTTTTTTTAATCACAAAAGCTGCCTCAAAGCAAGCACACCACTATTAGTACAGTCTGGGATATCTGGAGATCTCCACTAAGGACCAAAATGGAACATATATTAACTAATTAAGTGCACACACAGTTTTTTTCCCATGGAATTCTGATGTTTTCATGCAAGCCTCACTAAATTGCTAAGTCTCACGGCATCATATAATCACTCTGGTGTGTTGTCTCTATGTTTGGTTACTTCTCTTCATTTCTTGCCCACCTGCACTAGTTACAAAAATAAAAGTAAAATAAATGGGGGTCACAGTTAACAAAAAGTCACTTAGTGCAGCAACCAGTTGAATAATTTTACCTAGGGCAACACAGTATTTGAAGAAGTTACAAAATCAGACTGATGGATTGACAAGCTACTTTAATACTGCTTTGCAAGGCATCTTATCTGCCAAATCTGCTTTTTCTCTCCCTGTCAGCCAACAGTAACACCTGCGTTTGCCTCTTACTATCACAACTTTTAGACTATGACATGATGGAACTGTCTAACCAAGACACACACCTCTGTCATCACCATATAATGGGCTTCTGAGCAGAAAACTGGAAAAAATCAAGTGCAGTTATGTTCAAGCACTGACAATTTTTTCTTTCACAGTCAAAGTAACCCAAGTGATCCCTTCCCACTTCTGATGAATTATGAATAATGAAGGCTTAGTCAATGCCTGTGTTGCCCGCACAGGTGTTATTTTGAACCGTTCTCATGTAAGCTTGCTTGTGTGCCAAGAGCAGTGCAGCCAGGCAGCATGGAGTTCAGATCCCAGCTGGATCTGCTGTATATGCTGAAACCACAGACCCACAACTAAACATTGTTACTGATCCCTGAACTACCTGGTTTAGTGCCTGTTTGGATGTGTTTACACTAGCTGCAGTCACATTTCATTACAGCATAGATACAACCTTTGAGAGAAGTAGCTGGGCAATGTTACAAATAGCTGACATTTATACATTAACAGGGAGGCACAGGTATTTGACAATAACTCTTTACAGTACTTCTATGCAGGACAAACTACAGTCATTTCCTAGGCTGAATAATATGAACTCATTTCCTCATTTTTATTATGTAATATTGATATTATTTGCATCAGATGAAATAAAAAAAACAGCACCTCCCTGATACCGTCCTTTACTCTTTCTTCTATGTTGTAGTCATAGAGAGTAGAACATTCAGTGAACATAGGAAAAACCTTCATCATCATGTTGGATACCGGACTCCGAATGGAAAATTACCAGGGTGGGGTGTGTAATACTAACAATGCATCTTTAATTCCAAAATAAAGCACAAAGATCAGTAAAAAATAAAGTATCCTCTTACCTTAGGGTCTCATTTTCTCCATGTTAATGCCAAACCTGTAACACCTAATCAAAACACATTTCTGTTTTTCCTCATTTTTTACTAGTGTACATACCAGTGCAATTTAAAAGGACATTTTGTAAAGTATCCTCTCTAGATATAGCTGATAAAATCAGACTATTCAAAGGCAAAGACAGTTGGGAATAAATAAAGTATTCGCCATAAAGAGTAAAAATTACCTTTAGCAGGGTTTACTTTTATCCCTGACCTATACAGCATCTCCTCATTCTGCCAGTCCCCATTCCTGACAACAGTCTTGAGTCCATAGAAAACAATTAATGCAGCAGTGGAACAAAAAACCAAGTTCTTCAGAAAGCGCTTTTGGGCTTTGACATAAAGGGCCCTGACACCTACTGTAACCAGCAGGCAGAAGCCCATACTAGGAACATACAGCACACGCTCTGCTATTACAAAGCCAACATAGAAAAATAGGTTTGTGGCAGGAACAAAGGGCACTATTAACAAAGACAGAGACAGAATGACAATGTTCTCAGTTGAAGGAAGCTGCAGTTTCTGCACTTCATGCTTTTTTATACCATTCTCTTCTTTTGATGCAAAGCTTGACTTCACCTCCAGTGTCTTGTACTCCATCTCTGAGTGGCAGCTATGCCCGTTAGCATTCTGCTTGCCATTCATGACAGTTTTCCCATTGCATTCTCTCTCATTGCTGGAGCCCTTCAAGCTAAAGTAGGCAAGGAGGAGAAGTCCAGCATAGAAGGCCACAGTGTGTAGATTCCTCCAGTCGCTGACTGCTTTCAGAAGAGGCACGGCATCCATAGACCAGTCAAAGCTGAGGGTATCTGGGCACAGCAACAACCAGAGGTTCTTGGTTGGCAGGTAGAAGAAGGTCAGGGTGCGTGTGAGAAAACTGTCTGAATCCGCTGCTGGATTGTCAGAATTGGAAAAACTTGGGGGCTTGTTGCCCATCCAGTATAAGCGGACACCCAGCAGTGCAGTCCCCCAGGAGGTCAACAAACCAATGCTGAAGAAGAGGGTCAAATTCTTTCTCTGGAGGAAAAAAAAGAAAATCATCAATATAAATCAACACCAGGTGTTTAATTCTGTAAATTAAAAACAAAAGGAACAGGGAAATATCTGATTCGACATTTTTTTGGTAATAGAAAAAAGCACTGTAGAGCTTGGCCTTTGATATTTAAATGGATTACAAAATGCTGTGCTATGCTGTTGACCAGACTAAAAGAACAAGCTATTTCATTTAAACTTTTATCAAGCCTGTATCAGAGGCTTGCATTTAGAGATTTTAGGGCTGTCAGTCTTTACTTAAGATTTAGTCATGCACCCTTTGAGAACTCTTTATTTTAGAGGAATTTAATGAATCTTGTAATGGTTTCTACATAACGTCCCAAAAGCTTTCTTTGCTTCTGGCTTTGGCCAAAACACCGGTTTGCCTTAACTAGTTTTAAAGTTTAATGAATGCTCCAGTTCTGTTTTTCTTAATGAAAGTCTCTCCTAAAGTATTTCACCTGAGAACTAAATAAACCTTCCAAGAAGGCAAGAGAGGAAAATAAACACAGCTTCCATGTTTATGTCTTCCAGCTACTACCTATTAACTACAGTGGAGCCTTCAGATCTGAATACTACTGAAAGCCCCATTTAATTTTGCATCTCACAGCTAAACAATACGTTGTTTTTTTTTCTTCAAGCACACCATATTAAATAAGTGCTCTAAAACCTTTCACAACTTCAAACCCATCTAAATAATATTAGGTGAAGCACGCAGCTGCCTCCACCTACCCATGCCATCCTGCCAGCAAGTGGAAGAACCTCCTCCACTTATTTGTGGAATAAGTCAACATTTGCCAGCTGGAGCTGCTTGTTGAGTTCCCTCCACCGCATGCAAAAGAACTTTCTTATTCGAATGCTTGCAGAAACACACTTCTGCCTAGATGAGAATCAGGAAGCAAGATTTGCTCACCAATTTATAGGACTATGAGCTTAAGTCCTGTTCTCAATTACACAGACACCCTAAATGAAAGCTGGTTCTTTACTCTCTCTTTGCAGAAGAATCTCTAAAAGCTAAAATATGTGTATTTTTATATACCAATTTCTCAGATGCTTTTTGTAGGAATATAAAAACTATTTGTCAAATAGCTCCAGATACTGTGTAAGCACTTTCATAATCTGTCCCCCCATTATTGCAAAGAAATATTTGTCAATCATTTTTCAGTTTATCAGGTCTGGTTTTTCCATCTCACACTACACACTCCTGGAATAGCATTTCAGTGTTTCCTCAGTTCAGAAGCAGGACCTCACACTGGAATTTTTTACCTTACTTCTTTCAAAC